TTATAACAAATAAAAAACGGAATGAATATGATAAATTGTATTAATAGAACTTATATCAAGTAACACATTATTAATCGTTTGTATCAAGTTACTAGTAAAGTTATTTCTAATGACAATATTAAGAGAACAAACAAAATCAATTTGTCAAACACTTGGTGTGCAAGTGAATTTTCAGAATTTTCCTTTAAGTTGTGTTGATACATAAAAGCACTTATAATTAAAAAGTGATTATAAGCAATATCGACACTTGATGTAAATCAAAAAACAGTTTAGAAAATTACTTACAATTCAATTGATAACGCAGTGCTATTTGACAAATTGATTGATGAATATTAAAGCAAGTAAAAGCAATAAGAAAAGAGACGTGAAGATTTGTCTTCACAGTTCCCCACTTTCGTCCTTACATGTGGATACGTCTGCGCCTAATTCCATTGAAATTAGAATAATTCTTACTATGCAAAAAGTTGATACAAGAGAAGTGTTTAAGAGCAACTCCATAACCCCTAAGCTTGTTGTTAATTCAACCTCTTTTCCTCTTTTGATCTTTAGAAAGACCAAGACACAATAGATCTCAATTGAGTTATCGATATTGCTAGTCCTTTGCATTCTTTATCTCCAAAACTTTCGCACACGAACGATCAAATTGTACCTATTACAAAGACAAGACTTCAATTGTGATTCGTCTTTCTCTCGCTACTTCCTTTGCATTCTTTATCTCCAAAGAATCCCTTGCGTTCTTTATCTCCAAAGGACTTCACTTGACCGCAATCACCTCTTGAACGTCTTGCACTAAACCCCCTAAATCAATCCATGATCTTGGAAGACGAACCTGCGGTTTTTTCGGATGAAGACCCTTACAAATCTCAACCTAATATTCTCTGCTACACAAGAACTTAATTGGACATTATCAAACCTCGTCTAGATGGCACCCCAATAAAAGATCGTTACAATGGAATGTTAGTGTGTATGCATAGATTGAAGGTTGAAGATGAAGAGCAAATGTAGACTAATTTTATGGTATTATCAAGTTTTAAATAATACATGAGAGATGTATTTATACTTGTGGTAAGTTAAGGCAAACAGGACATACTTGGAATTAAGAGAATTTACAAAATTGACCAAAACAATCAGTATGTGTCGACATGTATATCGCATGTGTCGACACATACATTAATTTTAGGTTGCATGTGTCGACCTGAGAAACTGTATGTGTCGATCCAACCAAGTCAAAGGCTACAGGCTTTAAAACAACGGTGAATGTGTTGATCTGAAAATCGTATGTGTCGACACATAAAATAAGAATTTCTGCAATTTTAGAAATGCTTCAGTATGTGTCGACTTGTACGATATATGTGTCGACCTAATCAAGTCAGAGGCTAAAAGTTTATTTACTGAGTTGCATGTGTCGACCTGAAATACAAATGTGTCAACACATGCAGTTCAATTTTGTGCAAAAACCAGTTTTTGATGCATGGGTCAATTTTCAAAATGATTCCAACATATCCCAAGACTTGTAAATGGGCATGGTGCCACAATAAACTTAGAGACAACGTCTAATTACTGAAATGATAGATTCTCTTATTTTTGACATCATTCAAAACATATACGAAAGCACGTTTCACTCACAAATTGATTATGAAGAGTTATATTTTTTCTTACACATTTTTAATGATTTTCAGAAATTATTAACCTTCGAAAACAAAATCCCTATTGTTTAAATAAAATATTGATTTTTTAATACATATGTTGACTCAGCGTATTAACAAATGTCTTATCATACTACGTAGGTGAAGTTAACATTTTTTTTTTAAATTAACAGAAAAAACTAATTTGACTAACGTGACTGTTTTTAAAGGATTAATATAAAATATTTATTAGATAAAAGACTAAAATAAAATCTAAAATTAAGTTAAAGAACTTTGATATTAATTTAATTAAGTTAAATACTCTCTATATTTTAAAATAAATTACATTTTAATAAATAAAATTTATTTTAAAATAAATATCATTCTTATTTTTTTAAAATATCAACAAGATTAATTTAATAAAAATCGAATGTATCTCGATGATATAATTACATTTTTTAATGTATGTATAAAAATATTAAACGACTTTCATTTGAAGCAGAAGAATATTACTTTTCATGTTGAACTTGTTCTTTAATAAACAAGATATTCGATAAGCAATCAATTTTGTCAACATTAACATAAAAATAATTTGGATTTGTGTATTACATAGTACAGACAAAAGTTTAAAACCATGTCAATTTGGAGGACCCTTTGTTTTGTAAAGGGTTGCATTTTGATTGGTGATTGGTGATTCATTGTACCATCCTTTTGCTTGTCATTTTCATTGGAATATGTATAATGAAGAAAAAATTATTCAATAGTTGAATAGGTAGGTGTAATGAGATGTTAAATAAATAATTAAAAGTGAGGTGAATTAATTGATGTTAAATATATATAATATTTTGTAAAATCTTATTGATTATTGTTAATATTTAGATTTTTAATTTATCTTAATTATCTGAAATCAATTATTTTATAATAAATTAATTTTTTATTTATTTTAATTTTTACCAAAACTCGTCATTTTTTCATCTATAAATAAAGATTTGGTTGTTCATTTGATTTAGACACACAAAAGATCCACTTTTACTCTCTATTTTTTCTATTTAACCTACAACAAATCTTTGTTTTATCCACTTTTATTTGTTTTAATAATGATTATCTTTATAAAATTAAAAAAAATTAAACAAATTAAGAATATAAAATTTAAAAAAATTTCAAATAAATTATTAAATTAAAAAAAAAATTAAAATGAATTATTTAACTCTTAATTATTTTAATTTTATTTCAATCGATAATTGATATTAATATAAAATCATAAAAATAAAAATATAAAAGAAAATAAAAATATAAAATAAAAATAGTGGAATAGAATATTAATTTTATTAAATAAGATTATTATAGTGAGTAAAAATTGAATAAATATTGAATTATTAGTTGGAAGAAAGAGAATATGATGTATAGTATAAAAAATGAAGAGAAAAAAGAGTTAAATATATAAGCCATCTTATATAATCTTAAGATGCACCCATATTCGTTGGTCTTGTAAGGACCACCACCTAACTGAAACAAAAAAAAAAAAAAGCTGAAAAAATGTAGTTGTAGAATGCTACACTTCATTAACCAGTTCATTGGATTTAAGTGGTTAATAAATTTTACTTAAATTTTTTTTCTAAATCTATATTTTCTATTGAGCGTGAGCCACCCAAAAAAAGTTTAAGAATTAACCATCTTTTACTCGAGAAAGTTCATTTTAAGAATTTATTTTATATATTTTTTATCAAATTTAGTTTTATATTAGTATTTTTTTTCCTCTTAAATAGTCTAGTGACTAAAATTTCATTCTTTAAAAATTAAATAAAAATAAATAAGCAAATTCGAAATTAAGATTTACATTTAATATTCATATATAACTAATATCAATTGAACTGTTTTAAAGAAACTATTTAGTACGTATATAATTTTGCATAAATTTCAAAGGTATCATGATCTCTTCTAGTAGACATAAAGTAATAGTGCAATCCATAATATCTTCAGCCATCGAAATATTAACCCTTATAGACCAACACTAATTAAAGGTTCATTGCAAATAGTTTTACTTTGTGTGGAGCCCGTGAAGTGAAGGATTCATTTGGACACTAACTTGAAATAAATAATCACTTTTTAGGAGAAGTGCTTTGCATTATTTCTATGTGTCTATGAAAACGACGTTGGAAATTCCCCACCCCATTTTTCAACACACAGTTTTCTTTTCAACTTCTCATTTCACCAAAACTTCTATCCGCGTAGTATTAATTTGGTTGTAATCGAAAGAGTGATGTGCAAGAAACGTGTTTTAAATTAACACCTAGTTTTAATCTACTAGTAGTATTCACCAACCTTACGTAACAAATCTATTTTAAAATCTGATCAACTAAATCAACCATACTATTCAAGAAACCGCCTAATCTATTCACCAACCTTAGTCAGTAAATCAAACTTTGTTGCACAAACAGTTCTCAAACTGAACCAAATAGTATATAAACCAAAAATCGAATCAAAACCGAATATAAAATATTAAAAGCAAGTTTAAATTTTTTATTTAAAAAATTGGAAAAAAATATAATGATTCGATTATTTAACAAATGATCCGGTTTAAGAAAAATTGTCTTCTAACGATTTGATACAATTTAGAATTCTCTAAACCGGTATATCAAACCATTAACTTTGATTTAGTACAATTCAGAATAAATTAAAACTATTGAATAACTTTTTACTATAAATTTTATTTCGGTCGGATTTTCTAAATGAAATATATCATGAATAACCCTAATTAACTAGGGTAAAAGTAATCATTATCCTAATCATATATATGCAATATCCCTTTGGATAATTGGTGCTTTAACAAATAAAACAGTATAATTTGGATAAAAAGGAACAATGATTAAGGTGCCGACACTCATCAAGGTGGAAAGAAAACAATGGAAATGGAGACCCTACACAACTCTAAGGACTATAATTAGGCACCCCTATCTTCTTAATGATGCCGAGTTCCCAACAACAAACTCACATGCAATAGCGCCATAAGCAAAATACAAATACACAATTTGTCAACACTTGAAATTGGTTGGCAAAGGGACAGAAATTATGAATAGTTACAAATTTAGGTATCATAACATAAACATCAATCACGAGCAGAAAGACAAATGGCAAAATAGAAAAAATAGTAAAGACTAGAGCTTTTTTGTAAAAGGAATCAATAATAGAGTAGACTCTGAAAATGTAATAGCTCATATTCATTTATGCTTGATTGCATGTGAAGGAACGGTATGCAGTTAATGTACATGAAATATGTGAACTTTTATCTTTCCCATTTGTACAGAACAAAAAAAGCAAGAAATTCATTTACAGTGGTGGTTTTTTTCTGATTTTTGGAAGTTTAATCTTCACTCACTAAGCAGTGTGAGTTAAGGATTGAGATCTGTTGAGCCTCTCGAGAATACTGTTGGCCTTCCTTTTTGCTCTTGAAGTTCCGCATTGTGCTAGCATAGAGAGTGTGCCGTTGGCCTTTTCTTCTTCTTTGATTTCCTTCAACTTTGTTCGACGACTATAACAGATTGTATATAGAATTGCAACGCAATTTTCCTTGCATCTTTCTGATGTGCTCTCCCGAATATTCTTCATTAAGAAAGGTACAGCATTGCGATTGACCATTTCTTCAACGGCGTCGGGATGACTGGAGAGGAGTGCCAGTATAGCCAACAGCTCGTCAACTAGAATGTGGTTCATTACCTTGTTCAAAATGACCTTAACCGCCCCTTCTCGCACGGTCCTCTCTTTATTATCGTGGACTAGACATAGGTTAAATATGGCTGACGCAGCATCTTTCATGGCAAATGTATGTCCCTCGTCTAGAAGGCCAAGCAAATGTTTGATAGCTCCAGATTTTCCAATAATGAGCTTGTTGGAATCGATAGCTGATAATGTGAAAATAGCGGCTGCAGCATTGCTTTTTGTTGGAATGGATCCCCATTTCAAGGCATCAATAAGAAGGTTAATGACGGTTGGATCCTCTGCAAAAACTTTCTTATTATCGTCAAGAATTGAGAGATTCAGAACAGTTGTGATCAAATCCTCTTGAAGATCGGGGTGAGGACAAGCACCACCTGGCGATAATGGACGAAGCAACTGCGTGATCACATCACCAGAATCCTTAAAAAGTGTTCGAAACGAAGGTGTTCGCTTTGTTAACAAACGAAGCTCTTTCGCAGCTGCTTTCTGATCAGAAACAGACAATGACAACTTATGAAGCAATGTTTTTAAACGGCCTCTGTCTGCATCAGTCACAACTTCATCCGTATCACGAGTAGGCTGTGGTAGCTCAAGTCCACACTCCTTACACCACTGCGCAATCATGTCCCGGACCAAGAAATTCGGCGTAAGAATTGTGTGAGATAGAACTTGCTGGGTTTGAGGACATGTTCTATTGCCTTCATTCAACCACCTCTGGATAAACGGCCGATCATAAGTCTACAACAGCAAAAGAATATATCAGAACAAATTAACATTTACACAAACATTGAAGAACTATAAAACCACCACCATGATCCTCACACTCAAATACACAAACATATAACAATCATAAATAATCAATACTCACATTTATTTAGAAACAACAACCCTCCAACTGGCCGATCATAAGGTGAAGGACTTCGAAATTAAATTCAGTCAGAAAGTAAATAAAGTCGGATCAAAATTGTTCCAAACAGAATTCAAATTTGAATTCTCTCGAAACAAATGAAATTCCTCGGAACAATTCGTTCTTAACCACTTGACCCTAATAACATGGTTCATAACTAGTCTGCTCTATAGTAAAAAAAAACAGTATATGTATCTCTCACTAGCACCAACGCATCTGAAAAAAACGGCGTCTATGTCAGTGTTGATGTACAAAACCGACACAGACACTTGTGATTACATTTAATTTATTTATTTTTTCAAATTATTATCGGATTTCAACATATCAGTTGTCCCTATCAGTGTCGTGTTTTCGGTGTCTTTGTAGGGTTGTCTTTGTAGTGTCGTGTTTCCGGAGTCTGTGCTTCTATGCGCATTTTTCTATCAGCATACAATTCAGGCTTCAACTAAACTCTAAACAAAACAATAAACATAAACTCAAAACTCAATTTCCAAATCATTCATCTTAACTGAATCAACTAAACCAAAATACAAAACTAATCCAATGAATTAGAAAAACGTATGCTTCACTTATGGCTACTGTTCTATAGATTAATACATTAACAAAAATGAACAAAAATCAACCAAAATAAAAGGAAAACTATAAATTAATATAAAGCAATAATAATAACAGAAAATTAATCAAAATTAAATACATAAAAAAGGAAGAAAAAAAATGAAGAAATTGAACCTGTCCGGTGGACAAGATAACAGGATCGATCATCAACTGAGTAGAAATAGGGCACCGAAATTCAGTCGGAGGGGCAAATTCGTCCAATTTATCATCAAAAGAGTTCGTTCGATTCGAATTCGAACGAGACTTGAAATCCTTGAGAGAAGAGAGCGCCGCGATTGCATCATCGGCGTTTTGCAGTGTATAGTCATCGGAGTCAACGATTCTCTTCACGATTTTCCATAAGCGTTCCTTCAATTCCGATGCAGTTGTTTCCTCCATTTTCGCCGCCATAACCGTCGCACAAACACGCATTGCACTCACTCGCCACCACTGCTACTGCCGCTACCATTCAAAAACGGTTGGTTTTGTTTTTGCACTTTCTTTTTGACTCTGAATGAATGGTAATGAATTAAATAAAAAAGTAAATTATGACAGATGCTGCACACTAGACAACGCTTTTCTTAATAAGTGCTTTTTTTAATAAGCACTTTTTGGTTCTGACTCTATTCTATTCTTTTCTCTCTCTCTGTTTGTTTGCAAAATCAGATAGATAAAACGTATCGTAGTAGAGTGTAGTGAGAAATATTAATATAGTGTATCGGTCCGATTCGGTTCGGTTTAGATGGTTAAGGTGAGTAAATGAGTCCACAGTCACGGCAAGCAGTTCTTGGACGTTTCGACTTCCTACGGCCCATTTCGAGTTTAATACAACAAACAAATAAACCACCGTTTTTAAGGAAAATACAAAGGTGAATCAATTGTGTTTGGTAAGTTAATTAACGTGTTCAAATTAGTAATTTAATTGGATTAATACTGATAACTATTATTATTATTATTACAAACAAATGCATTAATATTTATTATGATTTATGGGTAGGAATATAAATTAATAAACCAGTTTTATCTAAATCTTAATGATAAAGAAAATTTTATATGGTAATTAATGTGATATATATATATATATATATATATATATATATATATATATATATATATATATATATATATATATATATATATATATATATATATATATATATATATATATATATATATATATATATATAATGAGTAAGTTATCAATAAAATTTCTATTTTTTTTCTCAGGTATAATATCTATTCATAATTTATCTCATGTATCACACGGAGTAAAAGAATTAGTATAAAAATAAGTCAATGAATAAGAACTATAAGATTTAAAAGAAAAGGTTAAGATTAAATTTAAAGAATCTAAAAAAAGCTGGTAGATTATAAAAATATTTTGTGGTTATTAAATTATAAGTTATTTTATAATTATAATAAAATATTAGTTTTTTTTTAATATACTCTTTTTTATTTTAAAATAACAAAAGTTCATTAATTTAAATTTCTTTTAAAGAATATACAAGGAGATCAAAAATTTCTCGAGTCTTTGAATTTTGAGCTTTAATTCTTTTCTTCTTGTTAGATTAATTTTGATTGAAGAATGATAGTGATTTAGAAGATGTTTCTTTGTTGTAGAGTCAGAGTCTTTCAGATATTTGAACATTGTCTTTAGATATACAAGTAACCACTAATCTGAGGAACAACTTCTTTGTTTGTGAATGAAAGTTTTTCTGATCCATTATGTCTTGATCTGATCTTGGTTTCTGATAATCACTGAGTTGCATATCTGATGTCTGATTTCTGAAGCAGAAACTTATATCAATACATCTAATTTTCTGATTAATTCATCTTGATCTGATCTTTGATTTCTGATGACTTCTTTTCTGAGCTGCATATCTGATGTCTGATTTCTGATGCAAAAGCTTATACTAGTACAGTTGATTTTGACGTTGGGTTCTTTCTTTTCTGATCTCTTGAATTTTGATCTTTGGTTTGAGTTTGAAGCAACAACTTATGTCAACTACATCTTGGTTTCTGATCATGAATTATTTCTTTATGATATCTGAGATCCTCGTTTCTGATATCTTTAGATCTTCAATTCTAAGCTCTGATTTCTGATATCTTTGTTTCTAAGCATCTTTGTAATAACCGGTAAGAAATAAGAGTCGCCACCATTAATTTTTATCCTAGGGAAGAGAAGATAATGGATAACTCTAATTTGGATCAGAGATTCTAGGTTGTTGACTTGCTTTAGACGAAGGAAAGGTGTTAGTCACCCCTCATCTACATTGTTCTCAAGGATACTGGATTTAAGGTTTAGGAGTAGAGTTTTAATTTTTAGTTAAGGGGATTCGCCACAGTTTTTAAGCCATATGCATATGTATCCTCTTATGAAGAATCAGAGTCCTATTTCGTAGTTCGCAGTTGTTTGGTTAATTTTTTTTATGGATTGTAGAAATATCTCGAATTCTCCTTGAACCAAGTCTGGGTGTGTAAATAGCAGAATTGTTGACGAAGCTCACAGTCAACAATAAACATTTATATAACCCTTTTTAAAAATAATATTGAAATTTGAATTAAGTTAGTAAAAAACAGTTAGTAATTGATTGGTTAGCTGTTTTCGAATATATGACGCAATTATGCAAAAAATAAGTTTGAATGAAAAATATTTAATGCAAAAAATTAGAGCTAGTATTGTAGAAAAGATTTTTGATTAATAAAGAACTATTTTAATTATTACAAAAATATATTAAATATTTTTAATAAAAATTTAATAATTATTTATGCAAAATTATGTAAAATGTTAAAAATATGACTATTAAATAGAAATAGAAAAAATAAAATTAATAAAATAATTTAATTTAGTTAAAGAGGGTGATTTTAAAAAATTAGAGTGGCGCAGTGTATGAGAAATTAGTCTAGACCTAAACGAAAATCTAAGCCCAAACAATCAGAAATACATTTTGTGTTGAGTAGCAAAAATTAGAGAGTCTAAATATCAGGGTCCTAAATCCAATTAGTAGATTTAAGTCCATTTGTGTATAATTAATTTTGTTAAGAGATTATTTACATGGTCACTAATTAATTAATTTTAATCTGACAAAATTAAATATATATTTTTTTTTGTATTTTGCTAATGATGAAATTACACTAAAAGACCCGAGTTAAATTAGTTAAAAAAATTAGTCTAAATGATTATTTAAGACTAATAAATAAAGAATAAATAAATAAATAAATAGAAAAACAAACAACCACATGTTGTAACGTAGTAACATAGTATATCAAACATAAGTATTCATTTGTCTTATTCAAATAAATAAATAAAATAAAAACTAATAGTAATAATAAAGGATAAAGGAAACAAAACAATAAAACACAGACCACTTCTTTCTTCTCTCACATTTGTTTCTTTCATATTCCAAAAACAAAACAAAAAAACCTTTCTTCGTTATTTCTTCTCCTTCTTCCGGCAACAACAACTTTCACAAGATTTAAATGCCCTTCTAACATCATTTTCAATTCCAATCTTGACAACACAAACAATTTCAACATTCATGAAAACAAAAGCTTACGAACCTGGCATAAGTGGTAGCGCGGAAATATTCGATGAAAGACGATCGGGGTAGTGGAGAACGTCTGCGTGCATGGCTTCCTGTGGTGGAAGATCGGAGGGGCCGAAGGATTATTGGAAATTTTTGGATTTGTTTATCAGAGTTTCTGTTCAGAAACCCTAGAATAAACCAAAAATGAGAGAAAGATTGAGATTGTGAAATTGTGAATTTCTGGATGAAAAATTATGTTGGACAATAGTCCTATTTATAGACTTAGAATTAGGTTAAAAAAATTAGCAAGTAAGTTATCCAAAAGTCAAGAGAAGCCCAAAGCCCGATCTCTAAAAGAGAAAAAAAATTAGTAACAAAAAATAGAAAAAGAAAATGTTAAAAAATGTAACACAAGAGATTCAAACCCACGACCTTATACTTGCAAGCTTCATTCCTTATCAACTGTGCTATGTTACTCATTTGAAATAAAAAACTCAATTGAAATTATATGAAAGCAAACAAGTATTTGCTATTTAAAATACAAATAATCTGAAATAAACTGTTATACATTTTTAAATGACCGAAATGAATTATTGTTAAAATGTTAGTAAAATTGAACCATAGAATATTATAAAAAATCAATGTTGAAAGTATTTTTGACTGTAGGAATAAAGGGAGGGAAATTTGGAGTGTGACAGCTGTCCCTATTTAATTACTCTTCGATTGAAGGATACGAGAATACGCAGGTCTCGTATATTCGAATCGGAAGATTATTGTTGTACCCCAAAATTTGCCCTCCCATGAATTCCTCAAGACTATAGGAGTTTCAAGGGGCAGGTAAAAATCAAGAAGAAATTCAAAATCAAATCTCTTCAACAATATGCAAGAATTAGGGTTTGAGTTTTCTTCAAGAACATGACTTCTCAAATGAGCTCCATATGGTCTTATACATCCAAGACAACTCATTTTCAAGTTCACAAGGTGCTCAGCAATGCAAGAGCATCACAAGACTCTTCAGGTCAACCATCTCCTAAGCAGTAGACAGCTGAAATTAGGGTTTTGGTTCTTTCAAGGAATTTGGGGTTTTCAATGGTTCAATCAAGTCTCATAGGCCTATATACATTTCCAAGCACCTACATGCCAAGTTTCAAGACTCACAGTGCCAGTTTGCACAATCAAAAGCTCCATTTGATCTACAGTCAACTGCAAGGGCAAAATGGTCATTTTGCAGTCAAAAGTCAGAATTCTTGGTCAACATCTTATTTTTGAGTTCACAATCATCATTTGATCAAGTCTTGATCATGATCCCACAAAAATAGCTCAAAAATCATCAAGATGCAAAAGTTACTATTTTTAGACAACATAAAAGTCAACTGTACTTTGACCAGGGCATAACTCTTTTATGGTTTATCAGAAAAATTCCATCCAATGCTCAAAATGAAGAGAATTGCATCCTCCACAATTGCATAGCTTGGAATTTTTATCATGCACCATTTGGAAGTTATGAATTTTTACATTATAGGTCAATTTCAAAAGTCAACAAAAGTACACTTTGAGTTAAAGGCCATAACTTGAGATTGGTAAATCCAAATGACATGGGACCAAAAGCATTGGTTAGAGGACTTCAAGGGCTTTCCAAAATGTCCAAGAACATGGTCATATGATCAAAATTGAGCAAGTTATGCATTGGAGAAGTTGGGCAATTTTCATGAATTTGCAAAAGTCAACTTTGCTCAAAACACCTTCTTTTTGCTAATGGGCCTCAAATCTCTTTTTGAAATTTCACCCATGACCTATGCACGACCCACCAAGTTAAATTGGATTTATTTTCTTAAATTTATTGATTAAATGGATTTTTAATACATATTAATTCATTTAATTAATTTAAATTATAAGAAAATAAAA